TATTTTAGTCTTTTTTCATCTAAAATAAAACGCTTAAATTATACCTTCATATGGATGCGCCAAAAGCAAATAATTCTGTTATTTCAGTTGTTTGATCCTACTATTGACAACCGGATGTCAAGTCACATGATGATTAATATCTTCCGTTCATTCCAGGATATTCTCTCTCTCTCTGTAAATATATATATATTTATATATATATAAGTTTATATATAAATATATAGAACGTAAAAAATACAGTAGATTAATAATACTAGAACGGAAAAACAAAGACATAAAATTAATTATTCTTAAAAATTAATGTTATGATTTTCAAAATCCAAATTTTTACAAAATAAAGATTCGGATTGTAATGCAATGGATTAAACAAAGTTACAAAACTCGCTTTCACGACGCTTGTCAATAGTTTTTTTTTAAAATTCTAACATTTTTAAATTTAAAACAAATGAAATAAGCATAATGGACAAAAAGACAGGAACTATCTTAAACATACTTGACAATAAACAAAATATCAAAACAAAATTTAAAATTTGAAACATCCCCTTACAAAATAAACTATCTTCACAAATATTCTTAAATCTATAATTTCTTGCAAAAATCATTGTTTTAATACCAACCTTCCCATTAATCTTTCGTTTTCCTCTAGCGGGGTTGATCCTGGTTTTGGGGGTTTCGATTTTCTTGAGCGTTTGCATAAAAATATTATCGACTCTAGGAATGACAGAGAAACAAAACAGATTTTCATTAGCATTTTCGTCTAAAAATTATTTTATATAAAGAAAATAATTTTTGTTTATCTTTGATAAAGTTTTAGACCATTATAGTTTAAAAACAGAATGATGACATTTCGTCTTTCAATGATAAAGCTTAAGACAATATGAAAGGAACTTACTTAAAATAAATAGGCACAACTTGTCTATATTATTTAATGAAAATTCAATATATTCATATATATATATATATATATATATATATATATATATATATATATATATATATATATATATATGCAAGATTCATCCTTATAATAGACAAGGTGCATTGATTAAGTTGTCTTATATAATTTCTCATATGATCTTATAATTTTTTTTTTAAAAAATTGTACAAATGTTATATTTTTCCGAGCGCTTTCAGCTATACATTTAGCCATTTTCAAAGATTTTCAACTAGAAACATGGAAACATTATGTTGATCGTGTTTTGAAAATAAAACATTCCATAATATTAAATACATACATACATACATACAACAGCTACTTCCAGTTTACACTTAATATATTTCATCCTTAAAAATGGATTCATGTTTTTTCCAAGGGTATTAACTCTTAAGTGAATGTAATGGATCTGACTGGAATTCGAACTCGGCTCTCCGATTACTCAATCTCCCTCCAGCTATAGGTAAATAGTAGGACAGACTGGGTCCTATAGCTTTGGATGGCAACAGGTCTACTAAAAAAAAAGAAATGGCAACCAAAATCTGCCTCGTTAGTCATGTATCGAAAGATACATGATTGCCTAAACGTATATCCCGCATGGTAACAGACCCTCGGACTATTGTCCTCATCTTTTTAATACTAGGTGTTGTAAGTTTGGATATGTGGGTGGGGTTATGGATAATGGCACGGAATTTTTGATTGAGGAGTCAAAATTTTGTTGGCATCGTTACGTAATCTTGGGAAAGTTATCATTCCATCTCTTTTTCCTCCATATATAGGGTTAATTAATAAGACTTTTATCACTAAACCGTTATTATCTACCCTCCCCCCACACCAAAAAAATTCTTGAAATCTAAAAATATCTAAAATATGTTCTAGCATTAAATAACCTGTAATTGGTTGATAAACAATAAAAAACGATGAAGACAATGATATATCATTATTTACATCATTCATACTCATTCGTCTATTGTCCTCATCTTTGTTGCTATTATTTCAATGTTTCTCAGGATGTGCTTTCAGGCTTTATATAAGCTGATAATGTTTAACAGCTCCCCCCCATAAGGGATGTGTGTGGCACAAGGCCGAGTTTTCCGTGGGTTCTCCGAGACCATAGGCTTGGCCAAAACTAATCCCATAGAACCCGCATAAACGTGTCCGGGCCTGTCTAACTACCCGGACGAAACTTTGCCCTTCGTCAAAGCCACGTCCGGGTTCCTCTCTGCCAAAGACAGAGAGTACGACAGTTGAATAGGTTTTGGCAATCAACTCATATAAAGATATGAGCTGATTGCCAATCAGGAAGTTACGAATTTAAACGCTCAACTAATGTGGAATAATCTGGATACGCTCTCAGCATATCCAGAATCGTTCTTATCTGCACTGAACCGTGATTGCTGACGAGTTCTTGAACTGCTCTCGGGATATCTCAAATTGTTCATATTTGCACTGATCAGTAATTTCTCGCCAGTTCTGGATCTGATCTCGGAATATCCCGACTTGTGATTATTTGCATTTATCAGTTATTGTTCCAAAGTTCTGGATCCGATCGCGGGATATCAGGATTTGTTCTTGTTTGGGCTGATCCGTAATTGCCCGCCAGTTCTGGATCTCGAGTTGTTCTTATTTTCACTGATCACTCATTGCTCGATATTTCTGGATCCGATCTCGGGATATCAGGATTTGTTCTTATTTGCACTGATCCGTTATTGTTCGTCAAGTTTCCCCTAAATCTCTTTGTGCACTACCCGGCCAAGTGTACCATGTGTCACAGTTACCATAACACCAATTCACGAAGCAATCCTTTAATCCACTAGTCTATTCTCACGTAAGCATGATTATTATTGGTAGTTTCCATTTTTGTTAACCAATTATAATGAGCAATGCAGCATCTTATTTACTAATCAGAGGTATTAGTTAAGAATAAATTTAGAGGACACAAACTCACAAAAATATCCGATGCAAAATATTTTACATGGATAAATCTCCATAGTCGATACCTAAAGCTGAGCTTTCTGGAAGTTAGTTAATGTGTTCGTGGTTGGCTCAAAACGCAAATAAACAACTAAATGCACATTACTATATTCAGCAGCTGCAATAAATATTTGGTCGAAAAAATGCCTTGCACTTGTTAATACGAAAAATGTTCACCTACATAATGTCGTATATATTAAGAATAATCAAAGGAAAAAAAGGGGATCTTGGTTGGTCTCTTCTACACTAACCACCATATTCTTCTGACTTTGCAATAATCGATTATTACATTTTTGGATTGCTGCAAAAGTTTTTAATGTGGTAATCAACCTATAATGAAATTCAGATTCAAGTGTTTGTCGGGAAAATAAAAATAACTGCTTAATTTTACTCAAAATATATCGTCATGCAAATAATGGTGAATATATAATTGATGAAAATGGAATTGTATTTTATTTTATAAAGAATAAAGTGTAATTGAAAACATAAAATGATTATGACTCAGGCTATTATCTTTACTATTTTATGACTCAAACTATTATTTGTATTATTTTGCGACTCATCTTGTAATTTTAAGTTTGATTCAACCTATTGTTTCATTCTGAGATTATTATTTTATTTTATTTTATATTATATTATATATATATTTATATTATATGTTTATTATTTTATTTTATTTTTATTATTTTATTATATTATATATATTATTTTATTATTTTATATATAATTTTATATTTTTATTATTTTCTTATTTTATTTTATTTCTAGTATTTTATTATATTATATATATATATATTACATATTATTTTTATATTGTTATTATTTTATATATATATATATTTATTAAAGACATTTTTATGTTTAACGTTGTTATTTTTTGATACAAGTATTTAAGCAAATGCTCTGTTTATGAAAAACAGTATTAAATAACATTTACCGGCCTGAATGTCCAAGAAATTTTCATAGAAAATATTCGTTCTTTGACAGGATTCGAACCTGCATCCTATACGGAACCATCATATACGCTGACGTGCCTTAACCGTCTCGGCCACAAAGAACCTTACGGTAGACAAGGTCGAATTTACTGTTTATAAACTTCAATCTTCCATGAATCTCGTACATTCATAACTGCTCTGGCGTGTCGAATGTAAACAAATGACGTCATATATTAAGAAATGGACAAAGGTCCGACAATTTATTTATTAAAGACATTTTTATGTTTAACGTTGTTATTTATAGATACAAGTATTTAAACAAATGCTCTGTTTAAACATATTTCTTAAATATATATATATATATATATATATATTATTTTATTATAGTTTTATTATTTTATTATTTTTTATTTTATGATCCAGCCTATTATTTTATTATTTTATGATTCAACTTATTATTTGAAGCCTATAATTCTTTATACCTTATATATTTCTTTTTTTTCTCTTTCATTCCTTAATAACTTCTCTTCTTTTTTCCTTGTTTCTTTTATTTCCTTTGTTCTTTGTTTTACTTTTTCAAATTCTATATTTCTCTGTTATTTCCTTTTTCAGTTTCTTTTTCTTTATATCTCCTACGTTTTTCATCTCTTTATTTTTTCTTTTTTTCTTCTCTTTATTCTTCGAATTTCCTTCCTTTTTTATAAATTACATTCCTTTCTTCCTTCTTTTGCTTTTTTTTTCTCTCATGTTTTCGTACTTATTCATTTTAGCTCGTCATTCTCTCTTTTTCTCTTTCTTTATCTTATTCTTCCTTCCTCCCTCCGTTCATTTTCTTCTTTCTTTTCTTTTTAATACTTATTCTACCCTTCTTCTCTATATTTTCTTTTTATTCCGCTCTCTATTATTGCGCACCCCTGATATCCTTCTTCCTTCTTTTTCATTCCTACTTTTTCATTCCTTCTTTTTCATTCCTACTTTATCTTTCTCATTTTCTTCTTCAGTTTCCTTCATTTGAAATGAAGAAATTCCTATTCTTTTTCAGCTCGCTTCCCATTCTCTAAATTCTTCATATTTTTCTTTCTTTTTTCTTTATCTTCACATTCTTTCTTTATTTCTTTCTCTTATTCTTTCACAGACCCATCATTTCTTCTTTCATTATGAGAAGAGCAAATAACAAAGGAAACACTTCTTCTTCTTCTTCTTCTTCTTCTTCTTCTTCTTCTTCTTCTTCTTCTTCTTCTTCTTCTCATTATTATTATAATTATTATTATTATTATTTGTGTATGTTATGTTTTTTTTTATTTTGTATCCTGTAGAGCCGGGTCCAAATTATGGTCCTTAGACCCTATAGGAGAATTGTCACTTAACTGATAGCACTTTTCTTAGTATATGGGATGTTCCTAGTAGGGTGATCTTCTGGGCAATTTTTATGTTGATATTACCTGAGACACTGCTAGTAAAGTTGTCCATTCATTTTCTCATGAGGCCCAGTGCTCCGATTACTATTGGTACAGTCTCAGTCTTCATTCCCCACATCCTGTTAATCTTACTCTCCAGGTCCTTGTATATGCACAATTTCTTGATAATTTTCATGGAGGTGTTTCTCTCAGATGTTACTGCAATGTCAATCAGCAGACACTTCATGTCTTTTATGATAATATCAGGTCTGTTGGTTTTTATTTCCCCTGTCAGTTTGAATTAGCAGGTCCCAGAGGATGGTTACATCGTTATCTTGGGTAACTGTATCAGGCTGGTGCTCATATTATTATTATTATTATTATTATTATTATTATTATTATTATTATTTTCTTTGATTTCTGGCGTTTACATTTTCTTTCGGGTCCCGCCCAGGGACCTAAGGTTAGAAATGGCGTCATGACACTTTCCACTAAAAAAAAAAAAAAAAAAAAAGAATTAAATTACATAGATAAAGCCCTTCGTAAGGCGTGGGCTGTACTTGTCAGAACAATTTCTTGTATCTCCTTGAGGCATGGACTTCCAGGGATCCCTTCAATTAGTCTACTGCAATCTTTTCCAACCAGTCCTAGGGCTCCAACTACAACAGGGATTGTTGATGTTCCCATATGCCACATTTTCGAGATTTCTATTTCAAGGTCCTTGTACTTTGACAACTTTTTGAATATCTTCAAAGATACATTGCAGTCAGCAGGGACTGCCATATAAATAAGGAGGCATCGTTTTTGTTTGTGGTCTTTAATAACAATATCTGGCCGGTTGGCCGTGATTGTTCTGTCAGTGTGTATTGTGTATTATTATTATTATTATTATTATTATTATCATTTGTGTATGTTATTTTCCTGCTTTGTATACTATAGCACCGTGTCGAAACTATGGTCCTTAGGCTCTATAGAGGATTAGTCATTTAATTGATATCACTTTTCTTAGTATATGGGATGTTCCTCGTAGGGCGATATCCTGGGCAACTTGTATGTTGATGTTACCTGGGTCACTGCTAGTAAAATTGTCCTTTCCTTTTCTTACGAGGCCCAGTGCTCCGATTACTACAGTCTCAATCTTTATATTTATTATTATTATTATTATTATTATTATTATTATTTTCGTCTATGTGCTGTGTTGCATGGAGATGTGGCTGATCGTAGATCTCCACAACTTCCACATTTTTATAGCGCTTAATAAGATTTGTCTTTTTGTTATTTCTCTACCGAACATTTGATTTCAAATCCTTCAATAATGTCGAGCTCTGCATTGGCCACCACATTTACAAACATACATAACCAATCAAATTTTATAAGTTTATCATTATTATTATTATTATTATTATTATTATTATTATTATTATTATTATTATTATTATTTCCCTATGTTGGAGATGGATAGTATTTGATTTGATTACCTCCCCTGACGATAAATAAAGGCAGCGCGATTTTTGAAAGTCGCGGTCTCTTTTTCCCATTGGCTTTGGGAGCGACAACACGCGCTTCCCCCCCTCTCCCCAATGCAAAAAGAAAGAACGCAGCATCTAAAGTACTTCAGAGACATGCACTGAGAATGGGGTTGAACAAAATGTTTTTTTGTCGGACAAATAATACCAGCAGTTTTAAAACGATAATTACATTCGGCAACACACACACACGATATTTACTATAACCATTTTAACATTAACCCTCTACCTTGAGTGGCTTTCGAGCTTTCGTAATGTGTAAATTTTAGTATAAAATATATATTAGGTGTGATTTTATTCATTGTTCACCTCGTTCATGGTACAATAATCCTTCTCGTATTTCTTCCCTCTTTTCGTTCTCTCATCCTTCCTTCCTTCCTTCCTTCCTTCCTTCCTTCCTTCCCCCCACTTTTTTTGTTACCGTCTTTGTTTTTTCTTTCATTATTCTCTTCCTCGCTTCTCTTCCTTTTACATGAATAATTTCATTTTCATTTTCAATTCATTTTCATTCTCTCGGCCTTTCAAATTTTCCGTTCTTCTTTGCATAATCTTTCTTTCTGTCTTTCTTTATTTTCTACCTTTCTTTCTTTACTTTTTTTTTCTTCGGTTTCTTTATAGTCTTTCTATCTTCACTTTCTTTTTCTTTTTTCTTTTTTTCCTTATTTTCTTTCTTTCTTTCCTTCTTTACATTCTATCTTTCTTTCTTTATTCTTCAATTCCTTTACTTTATTTCTATCTTTCTTCCTTTTCTTTATTTCTTTCTTTACTTAATTTCTTTCTTTCTTTTTTCTTTCTTTCTTCAAATTTCTTTACTTTATGTCTTTCTTTCTTTCTTCAATTTCTTTCATTACTTTCTTTTTTATTTTATTTACTTTCTTTTTTCTCCACTTTTATTTTCTATAATTATTTTTTTATGTCTTTACTTTTTTACTTTCTTTCTTTCATCGTTTTCTTCGCTTTCTTTACTTTCTTTCTTCCTTTTCCTTAAAATGTATCTTTATCTTTCAGGTAATTTATTTTTCTTTCTCAATTCTTTTATTTTTTCATCCCTTAACCTCTCACACATTTTTCTTTCTTTCTTTCTTTCTTTCTTTCTTTCTTTTTTTTTTCTTTTCTTTTTTCTTTACTTTCTTTTTATTCTCTTTCTTTATTATGTTCCTTTCTTTCTTGCTTGCTTGTTTCCTTCAGTTTTTCTTTCTTTCTTTGTTCCTTTCTTTCTTTCTGTTTTCTTTCTTTCTTAATTGCTTGTTTGCTTCTTTCTTTCAGTCTGTCTGTCTTTCTTTGTTTCTTTTTCTTTTTTCTTTACTTTCTTTTTATTCTCTTTCTTTATTTTCTTCCTTTACTTTCTTTCTTTCTTTCCTTCTTTCTTTCTTTCTTGCTTGCTTGCTTGCTTGTTTCCTTCAGTTTTTCTTTCTTTTTTTGTTCCTTTCTTTTTCTTTCTTTCTTTCTGTTTTCTTTCTTTCTTGATTGCTTGTTTGTTTCTTTCTTTCAGTCTGTCTGTCTTTCTTTGTTTCTTTTTCTTTTTTCTTTACTTTCTTTTTATTCCCTTTCTTTATTTTCTTCCTTTACTTTCTTTCTTTCTTGCTTGCTTGCTTGCTTGTTTCCTTCAGTTTTTCTTTCTTTTTTTGTTCCTTTCTTTCTTTCTGTTTTCTTTCTTTCTTGGTTGCTTGTTTGCTTCTTTCTTTCAGTCTGTCTGCTTTCTTTCTTTCTTTCTTTCTTTCTTTCTTTCTTTCTTTCTGTTTTGTTTCTTTGTTGATTGCTTGTTTGCTTCCTTGCTTCAGTTTTTCTTTCTTTCTTTTTATTCTCTTTCTTTACTTCTTCCTTTACTTTATTTATTTACATTCTTTCTTTCTGTCTTTATTTCTTTCTTTATTTTCTTTACCTTCTTTTTTTACTTTTTCATTTATTTCCTTATTTTTTATCTCCACTTTCTTTAGTTTCTTTTTTTTTTGCTTCAATTTTTTTCACTTTATTTACTTTCTGCCTTTCTTCAATTTCTGTACGTTTTTCTTTCTTTCTTTTTCAATTTGTTTACTTTCTTTCTTTCCTTTTTCTTCACTATATTTCGTTCTTTCTTTCTTTCTTTCTTTCTTTCTTCACTTTCTTCCTTTACTTTCTTTCATTCTTTCTTCATTTTCTTCCTTTACTTCTTTCTTTCTTCATTTTCCTTCTTTCTTATTTTTCTTTCTTTTTTTCATTTTAATTATTTATTTCGTTTATTTGTCCTCATTCAGCATATATTTCCTTCACCTAAATTTATTCTTCCCTATTTCTCTTGCTTTTTTTTTAATTTCTTCCCTTTGCCTTTTTTCATTCTTTCATTCCTTCCTTTTTCTTTCGTGTTTTTCGATTCTACAGCATTTATTCTTTCTAAATCATCATATTATCATTTTAACTTTTTTTCTTTTCTTTACTCTTTCTTCTTGCTTTTTATTTTGCGTTTTATTCATTAATTCTGTCCTTCGTTTTCCTTCTCTCTTTCACTGTTACTTTCATAAAGCATTTCCTCCTTCTTGTTCTCATTCATAACAAAAAAGTTTCCTTTGTTTTCTTCCTTCAATTGCCCTATTTCTTCTTTCCAAACGTCTCCATTATAAAGACTTTTTTTTTTACATCAGCTTCTTCCTTGTGTATTTCTTTTATGTCATCCACTCAAAATGGCGATCTCACAGGGCTTCTTTCTTTTATCTTTCGCTTTTATTTTCAACTAATCATTTTTTTCTTCTGTATTGCCGCCAAACGTCGACTGTGATGACGTCACCGGCGTTTGCGTCAAAACCCGAGACGCAGCTTGCGGGCAGTGCACGTTGAGGGCAAAGAAAGAATTTCGAAATTCTCATGGATAGAATTTCGCAGGCATTAATCAAATTATTATGAAATAGATTGAAGAAAGGTTGCTAAGTACAGAGAAAATAAATACTACAAAAGTCGGAGGAAAAAAAAAGTATGGTGAGGTCGGGGCTGAGAAAGAGAGAACAAAAAATATGTAGAAGACAAAAAGTTGAAAGAGAAGAAGATAAAGAAAAAAAAAGAAAGAGAAAATATTAAAAGAGGTTAAGAAGACAAAGAAGAGAAAGAAGAAAAAAGAAGAAAATGATGAAAAAAAAAAACAAGTTAAAGAAGAAATAAAATAAAAAAGTCAAAATGAAATACAAGAGGAAAATGAGAAAAAAAAAAAGAATTTGGGAAAGAAGGAAAATTAAAAGATGTATGGAAAGAAGAATATGATACAGAAGAAGACAAATAAAAGAGAAAGAAGAAAATGAAAAAGAAAGAAAAAGACAGAATAGAAGGAAAAATAGAAGTTGTAAGTAAAGTAGAAAAAGAAAAAAAGTAATGAAGGAAAAAGAAAAAAGCAATGAAGAAAAAGAGAACGATTAAAATGAAGAAAGGATAGACAATGAAAAAAATGAAGGAAAAAGCAAAGGAGACGATGTAGATAAAAGAAAAAAATACCAGTGAAAAAGAAAAACAACAAGGAATCAAAAAAGAAAAAAGCCAAAACGAAGAAAATTTAAAAAGTTGATTAATTAAAGGTTAATTGAATAAAAAAAAATGAACAAAAATAATAATGACAATGAAGAAAAATCAGAAATGAAGAAATAGAAAGAGGAAAAAGAAAAAAACCTGACAATGAAGGAAAAATAGAATCTGTAGATAAAGAAGAAGAAGAAGAAGAAGAAGAAGAAGAAGAAGAAGAGGGAGGAGAAGAAGAAGGTAAAATATACTTTATGGGTAAGGAACGACAGGAAGAAAGAATAAAAACCGAAAAATTAAAAGTGATAGAAATATAAAGAAGATTGTAAATTTTAAAAAAAGTAAGAAAAAAAGAGAAAATGAATAATAAGGTCAATGAAAATATTTGAATGCAAAGTGGAAAAGATATACAGGTGCACTTTTGTAAAAACTGATTATTGTCACAATGTACATCCGTACATGCGTCCATGATATTAACTCGCTTTAATTTCGTACGGTGCAAGGAAGCCATATTCATAATTGTGATAAGTTGTTTCCGGTTTGAAACTTCCGGTTAATGAAAAGGAAGTGAAAACGTCCATTTTGTCATTTTCATAGAAACGTTTCCGTTTTGCTATCCTTTGCTCTTTTCTTCTTTTCACTTCTCTTTCAATATCATGTCTGGCACTTTTCTTTATTTTTTTTATTTTTACTTCTCAATCATCATCCATCTCTCTTCTTATATCTTTCTTTTTGTTTTCTACTTCCAGCCTTCTTCTTCTTCTTCTCCTTCTTCTTCTTCTTCTTCTTCTTCTACTACTACTACTACTACTACTAATAATAATAATAATAATACTATTTTGCTTTTTCTTTTTTCTTCTTCTTCTGCCTTTACTGTTTCTTCTTCTTTACTATCCATTTTCTTTTAATCTTTTTCTACTTCTTCATCGTTCTTTCGTTCCTCACTTTCTTTGGTTTTCTTCTTCGCCTTTCATTTCAACTTCGAAACACTGCGCATTTTATTCTTCATTTTCTTCCTCATCATTCTTACTTTTCCCTTCCATTATTCTTCGACTCCCAACCATCATTTCTAATTTGAGTTCGACAACACTCATTTCTTCTTCTTCTTCTTCTTCTTCTTCTTCTTCTTCTTCTTCTTCTTCTTCTTCTTCTTCTTCCTCCTCCTCCTTCTTCTTCTTCTTCTGCTTCTTCATTTTCTCGTCCTCCTCCTCCTCCCCTTCTTCTTCGTGTATACGAGATGCGGAAGCGAAAATCGCGTCGCAGCTCGTGACGCCACACATGACCACGCGAGAGTGAAAACGAGAAGTATTAAGTATGGGATGCCGTTGGTATAAACCAATGACTTCTTTTATCAATTATAGCCATTTAAAAATGTGTGTGGAGATTTCGTGGTTTATTTTGTTAAGGTTAGGTTTCAACTGTTTTATGTATATAGCTTAAAGAATTTTGAGTTTTTGTTTATTGTTTTCATGTTTAAGTATAGTTGTGTTTTCAACAAGGATTTTCCGGAATTGTGTACGCAACCAGGCTTGTTTTTTAAATGCCTAAAAATGTTAGTGTTATCATTTAAATGTAGAGTCAAGCGTCGTGAAAGTGAGTTTGTGATTGTGAGTTTCGTCTTTCAATGATAATGTTATTAAGCTTATCAGACAATATGAAAGGAACTTACTTAAAATAAATAGACAAAACTTGTCTATATTATTTAATGAAACATACATTAATGAAAAATTGCTGTCTAAATATACACAACATATATATATATTCGACGTATGAGGGTCAAGCAGATCAGTTTCCAGGAAACCGACAGCCCGACAACAGCACATGAGATTTGATTATAATGGTGAAGGTTTCGTGCAGGACCAGCCACACTTTTTAAAGAACCGAATTCAGAGACCTGGGGCACTAAGTGCCACAAGGTTCCCGAACGACTCTCCGCAGGTTTTGAATTCAGAGTTGTCCTCATTAGACCAGTTGCCATCCTTAGAACCCAGTCTGTCCTCCTATTTTACCCATAGCTGGAGGTAGAGGAAGAGGATTCACACCTTTCCCAAGGGTATTAGCACGTAAGTGAAAGTAATGGATTCGACTGGAATTCGAACTCGGCTCTGCGATTCCTCAATCCAAACCGATATATATATATATATATATATATATATATATATATATATATATATATATATAGGGTGGAATATATATTATATATATGTATATCTATCTCTCTCTCTCTCTCTCTCTCTATATATATATATATATATATATATATATATAATCTATACTCCACTGTGTATATATATATATATATATATATATATATATATATATATATATATATATAAATAATTATTTATTTAAAATTATAACATAAATATCTTATAAAATCACTACAAAATAGCCATTTTGTTTCAACACCTCTGGTGTCTTATCAAGTGATGATGTTGAATGTAGATTGTAGAATAAAGGGTTTTAAAAGGTTCAAATTAATTACCCCCCTCCCCGCAGGAAGGGGAAACGCTGTTACATGAGCTGTAATAACCAATCCAAAATAGAAGTGAACGAGAACTTGCATTTTGATTGGTTATTTCAGCTCATGTAACAGCGTATCCATGGATTCAAAATCTACTGGACAAATTTTTAGGAAATTTGGAACATGGATTTACGGCATGAGAGTGGATGTAATATTCTATGCATAAGTATGTATACATATAAGTATATATTATTTTGATTAAAGGAAGTCCCACAATTTTTTCCCTTCAATTTAAATGAAATTTAAACTTAAGTAAATGACCTGAAATGATGCCTATTCCCATAATATCAGCCAATTTCAATAATATCAAGACACCCTCATGGGGGCTAAACCCCCCGATATTGGAAATTTTGAAAGTCCATAATTTGAATATTTGAACCTCTATTATCACGGGGTTTTTACCATAGGGCTATATGTTTTAGTCACTTTGATATATTTTGAAACCAACTCTCAAAGTACTTAGTCGGGGAGTTAGGTGCTTAACCCCGTAAAAATCTAGACAATACAACCACAGGTTAGATTCTTATGAAATTTGTAAGAGATGACATAGACTATATATATCTCATTCATTAAAAAAAACAAAAAAAACGGGGTATCCAGGGGTACCCAAATCCCCGCCCGAAAATAGTTGTTTCCATTGATTGTATCCAAACATTTTATTGAGACCACAAATTTAATTTCCTATAACCTACACAAGAGCTACTCTTCTAATCTTATATTAATTAAGTGTCCTAGTGTAGTCTTTCCATAAAATTTGTCTCTTTTGTACTAAGGAGGCATCACTTGAATCTATACAATAACTACAATTTCATTATTATGAAATGTGGGGAAAATAGAAATGGCTTACCCCCAAACACCCTCGCGTCTGTCTGGCCTGTGGGTTTAGAAAAGAAAGAAAGGGTCCAAGATGGCGTCCGTGACTTTTTAATATTCACGGTCTCGTGCAGTCACCCAAAGTCGCGTTACACGCATGCTAATGAGGTGTGTCTGGGCTCCATAAAAGCAGGTCGCTTGGAGAAATTGGCAGAAGCCATTACACCCGTGTTCGGTATACATTGCTTTGCGTTGCGTCGTGTCAGACATTTTCCTACGGAAAGAGTTGCGTTCCTTACACTCCATATTGAATTTGACTTCTTTGCTCCATGAAACTTTACAATCTATTTGAATTCTTGCTAAAGTTGTTTATCTTATCATGACCAAACTTAAAAAGCTGTACATCTTATATATATATATATATATGTATAATTCTCTCGCCAAAGAGAACGCGTGTCAGTTACTAAAATTTTCCGAATGCACAGACCGACAGATGTAATACAGACTGTTTAATAAATAAAAAATAGAGGTGTCAGTTTCAAATATGAAGTATCTACTCCAGGGTGCGATGGATAAACTGTCGCGATATTATATCTTTAATTTCGAGCATGTGCATTTTTTGATTTCGTCTTCTGCAGAGTATAGTAGGGTTAGTTGGGCACCGTGTGTGAAAAGCAGAGCACAATGATGCAATTCACTCCGCCAGAAATTTGGAAATGGCATGGTGTACTACTTGATATTCACACTGAAATGTCCAATAGGAATATATCAGTTTGTTTGGGTGTCAATCTGAGGACAGTGCAGAGAATTCAAAAAGAGTTGGATGAGTCTAACGGTGATTACGAAGGTACGGCAGCTCGGAAAACTCACTCTGGTCGTTTTGTTAAGAACTTTCTGATATGAAACTTTATTTTAGGAATATTATTTGACTTAAAGAGTAATTAATCTAATTTGAAACAAATATTACTTAAAGTATTGACAGGTTGAAATCTTGACTGACAGGGGAAAGTTTATGTAATTTTTTTCTACGGTGGACATATCTGTAAAAAATACTTGAAGGATATAAGGTAATCGACATGTTCATACATTTTTTGACTATCCAGTAAATTAAAAAAATTAGGAAAATATTCTCCGTAATCTAATATTAATAAAAACAAAAAACAGAATGTTTCTAGCAACTGGAATGTAGAGAAACGCTATAGAGAGTGCCGCCATAGAATATTACCCAAATATTAATCTACGCCCAGGTTTATTTCCCATTTCACCTTTCTTAACAAAATTACTGCTCTCACAAACAAATGTACACATCAGATTCATAAAATCAAAAGAAAATTGTTTAATACATCAATACAGATATAATGACAATATTCTCCACACGTGACAAATACTGACGTTATTTCCAGTTAAAAATATGAAAATAGCGTTCTCTACATTCCAGTTGCTAGGAACATTCTATTTTTTATTTTTCTTAGTTACCTTGTTTAATTAAATTCATTTCGTATTTTGCTTAGATAAAGTCCACATTGGACGAAACGCGTCAGTAATTACCAGTTTTCCTATTGTAATTTTTATTCATAAATATTGTCTTCTCTACTGGTTAAATCGGAGAAATATATATATATATATATATATATATATATATATATATATATATATATATATATATAATGCGAATGTCAGTGTGTCACACTTTTTTCAACTTTAATCCTGGAGGTCATAGCCCAGGATATCATACCATTTTGGAATCAGACCTATTCCGTGAGCAAATTGAAGACATTCCGGGTCGGATGCGAACCCGCAATCCTGAAATTTTGGATTCCCAGTTTTCATTACTGCGATTGTTTTCGGATTCCGCCTTTTTGGCTGCTACTGATAAAAAACAATTAAAGGGAGAAAACTCTCTAACTTCCAATAGTTCATGTTCAAATGAAAAAATACTGTTCTCAAATTACAATGTTTCAAAATAAATTGTCCGTTTTTTGCACTTTACTCCTAGAGGCCGTAGCCCAACATGGCATACCATTTTGGATTCGGGCTGACTCCGTGAGCTCATTAAAAACATTCCGGTACGGATCCAGATCCGAAATCCTGGAAGTCTGGATTCACAAGTTTTGGTTACTACAATTGTTTCGGGGATTGTTTACATCATTTTTTGAAACGAATATTTTGTATGATAACAATTTTTCTAACTTGGAAACAAATTTGGGAATAATCGAAATTAATTACAATGTCTAGCGAAAGTCACCCAAGAAATAAAAATAATTGTTTGCATGGAAAATAAGGACCTACGTACATCAAACTGCATTTAAATTAAGTGGCGGCTGAAAAATTATCGTTGAACTTTTACAAGTAAGCTTAAATATTAATGAAATACTTAAATGCAGCGATCAATTTTGAGTTCTTCTGTAGTTTATTGTTGTCTATCACATCTACTCCTCCTTACCTATTTTGATGAAGGCCCAATTAAGAGCCCTCCACAGGAGCTAGCTTAAATGTCGCCCGAATGATTGGCTTTTAAGCTATGCCATCTGTCAGCAACTTTTCTGCATCTACGGCAGCACGTACACACCATTTAAGTCCTGGGTATGACGATAAACTACATCCGGCAGCAAGGCATGTGATTGAGAGATCGGAAGTTTTGAGGAGTTTGCAACCATCTCTTAATTGATGTTGTTCCTAGGTCCATCATGATTTGGAGTGGTAGCACCTGTTACGGTCACAGCCAAGGGCAAACAGTGAACCCCCAAACCTACACTCCTGGTCAAATATCTTATTTCGATTAAACTAACAGTATTTTATAATTTTTAACCTTTTTCTGTATGGTCTTATGATTTTGACAAGGAGTGTATATAGGAACCGATCATTCTTTTATATATATATATATATATATATATATATATATATATATATATGTGTGTGTGTGTGTGTGTGTGTGTGTGTGTGTGTGTGTGTGTGAAAATATAGAAAATAGGAAAAGAACTGGTTAGGCAAATAATCAAAAGTTCCTTAGTATTTTAGTTATTATTTTTAAAAATAGTGCTCGATACAAAAGTAGAGCATAAATATAATTCTTTATTTAAAAATATGATTCCAACTCGCGACATAAGAGGTCTCATGTTTCAAAACAAGAGTCTAAAACTTCAATATAATTATTTGAATTAAATTGAATTAAAGTAAGCTCTGTCCCATCTTCAAGCGAAATTTTTTTTGGAATAACGTATTCCTGAAATTTACGTGTTTTAATAATTGAAATCAAAATTTCCATGGTAACAGCTAGGGCGAATTGTTTAAATTGGGTAGGCGTGTGTTGGGTGTTAATAATAAGTATCAGTATAGAGTTACTTTCATAGATGTCAAGTCAGGGTATGGTGGGGGTGTCTAAATTTGAAATGGAAGATGTTTTAGCCTAGTCTGGTTTACGTGTCTATGGAGATTTATTTATTTTTTATTTTATTTCTTTATGAAAGGGATTCGTGCATATATATATATATAAAGAAACTGCCGTAACGTTTGTTTTTTGACGACTTCATAAAGGGTTATCTTTTTTGTAGGGTATTTAAACTATTTATTTGGGCTATGAATTATAAAAGTTATTATATTGTATGCTTGGTTTTAGCTAATTATTCAAACCATGAATTTGATGATGCCGACAAAAAACCGTTAACTCATGTCTATTGTTTAATAGATTATTATTATTTAGAAATAATTCAAGCTTAATGCAGAAGTTGAGTTTGGTTTGGTTTATTTTACGGCTTATCAACCTCACTGGGTTAGTTAATCTTAACTTAATATTGCTGGTAATATTTTTTTCAAAAATGTATTGTTGCTAATATTTCTTTACCAAAAATATATTGCTGGAAATAATTTTTTTTCTCCCAAAATTCATTGCTGGTAATAACCATTAAAATGTGTTACTGGTATTAAAACCTATTTTTACACTTTCATAGAGTTTTAACAGCATTTTGGTGGGGTTAACTATTTGTCCATAGCTGGGACCCAAACAGGTGCTACCACTCAAGGTCAGCGTGGCCCTGAGAATATCAGCAATTAAGAGGTGGTTCCAGGCTTCTCAGAACCTCCTGACCAGAGGCTTTGCTTTTCGATGTAGTTTATCGTCTTACCCAGGACGGCGGAAGTTAAGAACAGTTCGTCGCGAGAAAATAGTTTCTTACGCATCGATCTGTTTAAAGTCCAGACATGTTCAGTGGGGTTAACGTCTGTTGAGGGACTTGCCTATGGTCGAACTCTTTATATCCATGCGCAAATCATTTTTGCAGGATGACATAGTGAGATTCGAAACTTTTCTCCCAGTGAGTAATCTCGCTTTTACTTACTTTGTTGCATGTCGATGTAATGCCATTCACATTAACACCAACAGAAATCGAACCTGGGCTTAGAGCACAAGCGGATTACTCGTTGAAAACCAGTCCGAGGAGTGAAAGCATACACCCTTGAGTAAATTAATTGAAACAAAATGTTATAGAGTGATTTCACAGTGGAGGCTTGTATTTGTACTAAGTCGGTCCTAAAATAGGTTCGACGTACAAAACGTTAGGAACTTGATATAATAGGTAATGACGCAGAGAAATCTAGTTGTGGTCGCTGATATTTTAGTATCCGACTAACGGTCGTCCGGCATCGACTGACTGACCGACGTTATTTAGTCACCCCCGCCCACGAGGGCATCATGTGGAACAAGGCCGGTTTAACGTGGGATCTCCGAGCCCATGGGCTCGGCTAAAAATATGCCCATTGAACCCGTATAAACGGGTTCAGGGTCGGTTTACCTCCCCGAAAGAGACTCCGCCCTTCGGCGTAACCTCGTTCGGGTTCCTCCCCGCCCGAAGGCAGAGAGTTCAACCGGTCAGCCGGTCGTCCGACTTCAGACTGAACTCAGACCGACCCACTGAGCGACCCAGCGACTCCCTACTACTCCTACTTATTATAGGTCGGAGAGTCTATTAACTATAGAATAGGTTGTGTTCTACTATAACACAAAACGAAAAATCCTACTATCACTTACTTTTTTCCGTATTTTTCCAATGAAACATGCACATGTTACTTAGTAATTATGAAGAGACATTCGATATTAAAATTGGTTTCTAAAAAAGAAGTTACTTATGACTAACAGTATAAAACTATAATACCAAACGTTAATAAATTTATAATTAATACCGGATGGCAAAACATTACGCGTCATCCGTTGATCATAAAACAAATGAATGAACTTGAAACGGTGTCTACATATTGTAAAGGGGTCCCTCATCATCTGACTTATCAGCTTAATCCAAGATTATCCCTCTGATCATCATTGAAGAAGAGAGTTGCTATACAAAACGTGGGTTACCTATAATGATATTCATATTAAAATGTATTATTAGAATTCAATAATGATTTGCTTGAGGAGAGTTACTATTACACCACCCGTACACCCAAGCTTACATCACCTGGTATTACCAAGCGGATAAAAAGAGCTAAGGAAGCGGCAAGAATTATTTATTCTGTCTGTGAAAATGGCTCATTGAGAGTTGGAACATGCCAATTCTTGTTCGATCGGGAAATTTTCTCTTGGACGCCAGAATTCTGTTATTATTGAGCTTTTCTAAACCGGAAGTTGAAGAATAATCTCATCAATATGCGCGAGAATGAAGCAAAACAGTACGTGTCATATATTGACCATAAAACAAATTAATGAACTTGAAACGGTGTCTACATATTGTAAATGGATCCCTCATCATTTGACTTTTCAGCTTAATCAAAGATTAGCCTTCTGCACTTCATTGAAGAAGGGAGTTGCTACGGAAACTTTGATAGTTAGAATCATCCCCAGTAAAGAAATTTTGTTTCACTATACTGATATCCAAACAAATGGCAATGTTTAAAACCCAATGTAAAAGAAGAATCCAGACCTCAAAAAGAATTACATTCAGAAAACATTACATTATCATTGCACTAATTATATTCGGACTATTGTCTTCATATTTGTTATTGTTATCACAAATTTTCAGGTGTGGAGAATTATCATTATTAATAATATGCCTTTTGCGTTGAACATTGTAGTATGCAAGCCACCTTTCATCGACTGTTATAATATAGTTAAGGAAGGGTTAGTTAGAAAGATACATTCGATATTAAAATTGGTTTCTAAAAAAGAAGTTACTCATGACTAACAGTATAAAACTATAATACCAAACGTTAATAAACTTAAATTAATACCGGATGGCAAAACATTACGCGTCACCCGTTGATCATAAAACAAATTAATGAACTTGAAACGGTGTCTACATATTGTAAAGGGGTCCCTCATCATCTGACTTATCAGCTTAATCCAAGATTCCTCGGATCATCATTGAAAAAGTGAGTTGCTATACAAAACGTGGGTCACCTATAATGATATTCCTATTAAAGTGTATTATTAGAATTTAATAATGTTTTGTTTGAGGAGAGTTACTATTTGACCATAACTGGTAACCTAAAAGCTGCTACCAGCACGGGTCAGGTTAGACCTGGGAAGAGCAAATAAGGGGTGGTCCCAGACCACTCAAAAGTTCCAATCTACAAAGCAGAGGTCTTGCTGCCTGACATAGTTGACCTGGGAACAACAGCAGTTAAGAGGCGGTTGCAAGCTCCTGAAAACCCCCAATATCCCGACACAAGCCTTGCTGCCTCATGTAGTTTATCGTCATACCCAGGAAACGTCTTGAGTAAAATGGAGAGAAAAATATAATCAGAATCAGAAAAAGTTACCTGGAATTTCTTGAAAACATAATGAGAAACGAGGGCTTGGAGAACTTGATGCTCACAGGGGATATCGAGAAGAAAAGGGTCATTAAGACAGCGGGCTACCTATTTTGTGTCAATGGGTAATAGTACAGAGGGGAGGGAGACATGGCAAAGAGATAAACGTTGATAAGGGATACAAACGAGGGGACTTACGACCATACCACATTGAAAAACCGGTTCTCGGAAGATCATCGAAGGTAAGCAAGGTCGAACCTAGTCAGCACCAAGATGGGTGACCTCTTGGGAATACCAGCTGGTGTAAGCTTGGATGTGTTGGGGGGTGTTATGGATAATGCCTCGGAGAGCCAAGTTCCAATTCCCCTTGGGTTTGTTATATTCACTTAGGCGCAAATACATCCCCAGCTACGGGTTAAATAGTAAGACTTGTATCATTTAATCGTTAATATCTACCCCTAAGAAGAAAAATTTCTTACTTTTTTTTAAGCATTTCACCCCAAGCAAGGCGGGAAAGCCACTAGGACGCAAGGGGTTACAGAGGATTTGGAGCGAGAGCAGTTAGAAGCGATAGAGGAAAGAATGAGGAAAAGGATAGTGGATAGATCAAGGCAACTAGAGATGTCGATTGACATTACATTTGAATAGTTGGAGATTATAGCTATCAGGGAAACAGGAAAAGGAGAGGGAGTTCCACAGGCGAGAGGTGCGAGATATGAAGCAATTGGAGTAGAAAAGACGGCTACATTTAACAGTTTCAACCTGGCATTAAATAACCTGTAAAATGTTGAAAAGCCGTAGATCGCGAATCAATCAATCAAAAAACAAAGGATTGGTTGTTCAGAGGAGTCATGATCAGCCACACCCTGAAAGGACAAGGCAAATACCAGAAGAAGAATCTTTCGCACGGCTACTTGTGAGAAAGTGGCACGTAATAAAATGTCTCCTGTACTGGATTTGACAGTTTAAGACAAACAGTCAAGATGATGTTTTTCAACGGATCTAAAAGTCCTTTCAGGATTGTTGCTGACCAACCGGTTTTTATTACTAAAAAAACACTTGACAAAATTAGTATTTCTCTTTGTTAGACAAAATGGAGCCATTCTTTGACATTTCGAACTTAAAATCGTTCTATGACTGACACATCATGATTGAAAACACAGTTTAGGCAAAAATCTAACCACATCAACCATCTTAGACTTGCGATTATTTTACAATTTTTTTTTTCATATTTTACTCCAACTAAGGCAACAAAGCCACTAACATGCAGAGGGTTACTGAGTGTTAAAGAACATAAGGAAAACATTATTAAGGGGCGAGAACAATAAAAGAACAGATTTTTAAGAAAACAGAAGATAATGATTAGCACTATTTATATTTGTGAAGATTGATCGTAAAGCAAGAAGCCGGTAAAGACTTCCATAAGCGAGAAGTGCGTTACAAGAAACTCTTAGCATAGAACTTGCGGTTACTTCTAGCCATTTACACTGTAAAATGTTTGGTTTAGTTTGGTTTGGTTTATTTTGTTTTACGGCATATCAACCTCAATGGGTTATTTAATGCCGACAACATTTTTAGGATAGATTCGTATGAATAGAGTATGTATTCTTTGGTTTAGATTGGTTTGGTTTAATCAACCTGAATGGGTTATTTAATGCTGACAAAAATTTTTATTGCTGGTAATATTTTGTTTTGTCAAAAATCTGTTTCTGGTAATATTTTTCCTTCAAAATTGTATTTCTGTTAATAATTTTTTTCAAAAAAGTATTGCTGGTAATATTTAACTATATGCCCATATCTGGGACCCTAACGGGTGCTACCACCCCGGATCAGCGTGGACCTGGGAACACTAACAGTTAAGAGGGGGTTCCATGCTCCTCAAAACCTCCTGATCAGAGGCCTTGCTGCTGGACGTACTTTACCGTCTTACACGTGACGTGGGTGTAGTTTAAAGGCTTACCCATGAAGAAAAACTGTAAAATGAGGAGATTTTGCAAAACGTTGTGAATATGGCAATGAAGATGAGGGTAGCAGTCCGAATAGTTTAAATAATGCAAGTAATCATAATATCTTATCTCAGAGATATAGAGGCCGTAATGTTTGGTTTGCTTTGGTTTGTTTTGTTTCACGGCATATAATTCTCAAGGGGTTATTTAATGCCGACAAGATTTTTAATGCTGATAATATTTTCCCCCAAAATGTATTACTGGTAATATTTCTTTTTTCCAAAATGTATTGCTGGTAATATATTTTTCAAAAATGTTTTGCTGATAATAGTGTATTGCTGGTAATAATTTTTTTTCGTCAAAAATGTCTTGCTGGTAATATATTTTTTAAAAAATGTATTGCTGGTATTAAAACCTATTTTTACACGTTTTAACCCCAATTTAAGAGTTAACTATTTGTCCATATCTGGAACCCTACCAGGTGTTACCACCCCGGATCAGTTTGGTCCTGGGAACACCAACAATTAAGAGGTTGTTCTACTCTTCTCAAACCCGCTTTATCAGAGGTATTGCTGTTGGATGTAGTTTATCGTCTAAGCGAGGACGCGGATGTAGTTTATCATCTTACCCAGGACGCGGACGTAGATTATCGTCTTACCCGGGACGCGGATGTTGTTATCGTCTTACCCAGGAGGCGAATGTAGTTTATCGACTTACCCGGGATGCAGATGTAGTTTATTGTCGTACCCAGGACGCGGATGTAGTTTATCGTCTTACCCAGGACGCGGATGTAGTTTATCCTCTTACCCAGGACGCGGATGTAGTTTATCATCTTACCCAGGACGCGGATATAGTTTATCGTCTTACCCGGGACGCGGATGTTGTTATCGTCTTACCCAGGAGGCGAATGTAGTTTATCGACTTACCCGGGATGCAGATGTAGTTTATTGTCTTACCCGGGACGCGGATGTGTTTATTGTCTTATCCGGGACGCGGATGTAGTTTATTGTCTGACCCAGGACGCGGTTTAGTTCATCGTCTTTCCCAGGAGGTGAGAAATAGCTATAAACGCTCTTTGCGTTTGATTTGTGAAATATTCCTGAATCTTCTTTTTTTTTTTTTTTTCTTTTTTTTTTTGTTGCGGACAGGGTTGTCTTTTTACAGTTATGTCACTTGTCATTTTCTTGGACAGTCGCATGATGACGGACAGTCTCATACTGTTTTATCCATGGGGTACCTACTAGGCGAGACAGCTTCGCCATTGGCTCAGGAAGCATTCACTAATTCATCTGTATATGAATGAATGCGTATTGTTTTAAGGTTAGCCACCAACCTATCCCTTTTTTTTTCTTTTTCTTGGCTTTTCTTTTCTGATTTTTTTTTTCGCGAGACATCGTATCTAGAAAGGTTTTCTTCTAAGATCAACGCTCTCATTCTGCTAATGGGACGATTATCTTTCGTTAAATGTCAACCCAGTATTTTGCTGTCACGGTGATTTATTATTATTATTATTATTATTATTATTATTATTATTATGTCGTTGTTGTTGTTTGGTCCTTCATTCCTTGGGGAATACCAGGTGCTGTAAGGTTGGGTGTGTGGCTTGTGTAATGGATAATGGCTCAGAATTATTAATACCATTGGGAAAAGTATGAATCCGTCTCTTCTCTCCCCGTCTATGGGTTAATTAGTGAGACCGTTATCTTAACAACAACAAAAATTTCTATAAAAAACTAACAAAATAATTCCTGGCATTAAATAACCTGCAAAGCGTTGATAAGTCGTAGAATCAATCAACCAGTTTGTTCTTTAGTTAGCGCGGGCATTACGCCCTGTCAACTCCTACTAAATAACAATAATAAAAAGCACTTACCGGCGTAAGAGTCCCAACTAGCGTCCAGCTGGCAGACAAAAATAAAGCAGGTTGTAACTTAATACAAACCCTGCAAACTAACTGAGAAATCATGCTAGTATTTATATAGAAATACTTCCACTCAGGTACCAGCAGCCAATCACAGCCCAAGCAATGGAATATCCCTCTTTAGCATAATGAGATGCTCCATTGCACCATAAATAGCTCTCTGTCTCAATGTTGAATTAGTATTCACTCAGCTTGCTCTACAACTGAGTGTTTATCTTGACCACGATTGTTCGACATGGCGCTGCGAACAGGATCTATGACACCTGAAAATTGGGAACTCTTCTTCATTGAAGCAGGCATATCCACCGACTCGGCCAAAACTCATGCGACAAGGTTTGCGGACGAGAAGCTGACAATCGAGAGCCTTCAAATGCTGGATCGATCTATGCTTAAGGGCTGGGAGTCACATTAATGGGAGAAGCCCTGTGTATCATTAAGCAGGCTAAGGAATCCACCACCCAGACAACCCGCATTCAGGCACTAGCAGCCAAGCCTCCTCATCTCGATCTCGAGATGACACCACAGCAATTCAGGAAGTTCCGAATTGACTGGGATGTCTTTACCAAGATGACAAATATGCCAAGCTAATATTCACCTATACAATTATGCTGATGAGGCTGTGCAAAACGCCATAATCAACACACACCCTGACTTCTTTACCACTGATCCAGATAAGCTACTTGACATGGTAGAAGTGTTGGTCACCCAGAGGTCAAGTCCTATTGTCCATCGCCTTGCTTTTGCCTCCATGTCTCAGGATGCGGATGAGCCAATACAAAGTTACCTTGTCCGCCTCAGAGCCGTAGCCGTTGATTGTAACTTTACCTGCCCCTCATGTGAACATGACCTGTCTGATATATACATCAAGGACCAGATCATCCGTGGAATAGCAAATGACACACTCCAGGCTGACCTACTGGCTAAAGCTGGGGCACTTAAATCCCTTGAGCAAAATATCCGTCATGTTGAGGCATTTGAATCAGCATTACGGGACCAAACCTCAATGGCCGGCGGCTCAGATACAACTGCTGCTCGTCCATCAACATACCGCAGACAGAAGGTACACCACAAGCCAACGAGGCGATCCGTACCAGCACCTATTGCAGCTGCAATGTTAAATCAAACCACCAGGCTTGCTTAGGTTGTGGCAGCCACCAGCATGGCACCTCAGGAACTGGATCACGCCGGCTAAAATGCCCAGCATGGGGAAAAACATGTAGTAATTGTGGGAAGCCCAATCACCTATCGAGGGTATGCCGGGCTAAGAAACTGGCTCAAGCGGTCAGGGAAAGCCTAGAGGCTAATGAAGCCGCCATGGACACACTTATCGCCCACATCACATTCAATCAAACGACAGGCACGTATACATCTAAAGACACAGGCCAGGTAAGGGAAATTGATGCATATGTTGTTCCATTCTCGCCAAAAAACCGGATCCCAG